AAGACGTTCGAAGAGGTTGCGTCCTTCTACCCCAAGGACACAAACACAAGGCTACTGACAAAGTCAAAGCTCAGGCAAGTTTCAAGATTTATTGGTGTTTGGATCAGTCGGGAAAACTGAAATTTTGCCTGTCTTATTTCGCTCATTGTTTAGCTTTACGTTCTTAAACCAACGGAGGGAGGATCTAAGACGCCTATCGCCAATTATTTCACTGAACACGTCTTCTCACTTACATGGGATGCGTCTGGATTGCTCAAGATTATTGGTAAAGACTTCGTCATGCCTGGAGAGGCGGCTGAGTACGTTTTTTTTTTTGTCTTTTTTTGTTGTTCTAACATAATCTGCAATTTCTTGTGTCTTAGGGTTGAGATACGCTTGAATCAGAAGATGTTTATCGAACCTCAACAACGATTTACGATTCGTCAAGGAACGACCACTACGGGAACAGGAGTCTTTACCGAACTGCTTCCACCACAGACCGAAGAGGAGAAGGCAGCGATTACTTTTTTTAAAATTATTTTCCCAGATCTCCTTTTCATGCTTCAACTATCTGCCCTTTAGAACCCCAAGAACAAGAAGAAGTTAATGAAGGCAGAGATGGAACGACTCGGATTCAATCCTTACGGAGAACTGGCTGAGAAACGATTGAAACCCGACTACTCGCACTCGCCTAAAGACAACCCAGCAGCCAAAGCATTTGAAGAAGCTGAAAGTAATAAGTAGTCATTTCTACCCGCTATGTTTTGCTTATGCTCATGAACACTTGTTAATACTGAACTTAATTAGATAGTATAGTAGTTAGGTTGTTGTTAGTTGTTATTTTGTTTTTATGTTCATTTATGCGCACAATCTGTTCATTCTTTTACGTTGATTTTATCGCGGAAAAAGTAAAGAAATGTGTATATTCTCTACTTCGAAGTAAATTTTTCTATAACAATTTGGTTCAGAATCGAACAGGTAGTCAAATACCCTTTGCTGCTTAATAGGTCATGATAAAGATAATGTTTCCTATTCCAATTGGAGATCTCG